CACACACACACACACACACACACACACACACACACACACACACACACACACAAAAAAAAAATAAACGTAACAAGGTGAATTAAAACATACAAATAGGAAATGTGTTTATCAAAATTAGAAACTTACCACCTAATAATGTTTAAGACCTCACACAAGTATTTTTCTAAATATTTTTAATACAAATGTTATAATAAAACCAACACTAGTGACCAAACTGGCCATGTTAGTTTAGTGATGACGTGTTCAGCTGTTTATTAGAGGAGAAACAGTAACTGTCATCTGAAAGAGACAGTTACTGCAGTGATGCAGTGAAAAGAAATGAACATTTAATTCTACAATAGTTGTCTGTTACAATCAAATGATTGGTTTTCTTGTTCTTGACGGCTGTTGTATATAAATAGAATAAGAATATCTTTTAAATTACAAGAAAAGCTTATTAATAAAGGTATAAAAGTTTGAAATACCTTGAGACATTGCCCCAGTACCACTCTGCTTCAGACAACTGATGTTCATCAACGCTGCTGTCAGCGGTGGCCATAGCTTTGGTTAAATTGCTCTCCAGGTGAGTATCTGACCACAAAATGCAAAAAAAGATCAACAAATACTAAAATAAAGAGCAACTTTAAAAATGGAAATTCTTAGATTTTTTTTAATTGATGACAAATTCCATGATTTTTTTTTTTTTTGCTGTTTTTGTGATATACTTTCTTTTTTGCTTCCTTTCATCTTTGATTAGAAACTGAATCAATCAGGAATCTTCAGTCCTTTTACGTTTTCCACATAATTTATACTTTTATGTTTTTTTCTTGGATTAAATAACTACCAGATTTATGTCAACATTGTACAATTTACTAAAACAGAACATATGTAAAACTGGCATTTTTTTCAACTTTAAACAAACATGGCAAAGAGAAATACAAAATAAAGTGTTATTTTAATTTTGGAACAAAACTAATATAAAATAGTGTCACCAGCGACAAAGTACCTCCGGCTTTGCTGATGTTGGTTTTCAGGGAAGGATGCGAATCGTCTTGATCAACATGAGAGCAGATCTCCTCGGGAGCCAGTGTCCGTGTGAGAGACTGCATTTCTGTGTTGTTTTGGCCTTTTTCCGTTTCCAAGAACTCTGAAACTTCAACCATACAACAGTCCGCTGTTAGAAAAACAAATAAATAAGAGTCTAGCAGCCTGCCTCTGAGCGTCTGCACTTTGTGGCTGTCTGCAAACACTGCAGATTTCCCCACCTCGACTCAACCACAGGAGGTATCGTCGTGCAGCTTGTAGGAGAATCTGTCCCAGACTAGAGCGCTGACAGGTGACACTGTCTGACTGCCTAAAATACCAGAACTGGCACTCCTCAACGCTCAGGCACTCTCAGCCAGATTCAGTCGCGCTTGACCTCGCCTTGCCTCGCCTAACAAACAACAGCTGTCTGCAGCGAGATGCAGATGAGTCAAAGAGCTGAGCTGCTCCTGTTTGTAAGCGTCTGTATTAGTGATGCGGGGAAATGCCAGAACCCGTAGTCTGGGCTGGGTTATTTTTTWATATTTTAAAGAGTCATATTTATGTGTGAATTGTTTGTATGTAGCAGTATGTAAACACGCACACGTGCGCTGGTATATGTATGCACCGAGGAATGCTGTTAACAGATGTAAGTCATCCAGTCAGCACTTGTGAAGGCAAGCCTGGAGATGTTTTAAATTGCTGCCGTGTGCAGCAGGAATCAGACTTGTGCTGTTGTAATATAAGAAAGGGACAAAATGATGACCCTCTCATGCCTTCAAACAGCGAGGCTCTGTCAAAACTTGCCTGGTATTAAAAGCTAAATAGGATCAGTATCTAATAAACCCTGAATGTTGCTGAATAACTGTAGAGAATTGAACCTATGAGATGCAAGCTTCAACTAGTTCTTTTGAGGGTTTTTTTTCCCAGGGTTTGATTATTATTTTTATTTATTTATTTATTGCAGTTTAATAAAAATGTCTGGTCCTTTAAATATACGTGATACTAAAACTTTAAAGTATTCTTTGGCCTAAAGAGTACCAAGTAAGTCTTTGCCGTCGTCAATACTTGATGGCAGACGTCTGTCGTTTCAGCTCTCGAGGAAAGGATTTTCCAGGAGGACCAAAGTTAGCTTGAGTCTCCCAAACACCCCCCACCCCTCCTGGATTCAAATAACTTTGTGTCACAACTTTATATCAACTTGAGTTCATTGGACCGTCTGCAGAAGTAATTATTCAGTGAATGTACTTATCAAATGTAATGGAGTGTGTGCCACCAACACCTCAGGTGGTTCACATTGTGGGGGAATGTTGATGTTGACTGAACTGCATGTTCTTAACGCTTATTTGGGAAAAACGTTGCATTCCATTGACCCTGAAGTAAAAACCTATCTCTGAGTGACATTCCTTCAACTCATCTATGACTGTTATAATGTGTCAAGTATCGAACATGACTAAATAAATGCTGCTAGCTTTTGATTCCTCACTGGGACGCTTCGTTTTAAAGGTGTACGGCAGCAGACTAAATCATAAATGTGAGGGGTAGGTGACAAGGTGGCATACGTGGACAAGAATGTAGTTTTTACAAGTCATGCACATCAAAATAGGCTGTGATTTTCAAAAACTGGTCACTCAAAAATCAGCTACAAAGGCTTGTTGGTCACTTGGTCATGAACACTCAAAGTTTAATGAGAAAGTTCACTCATCATTGTGTAATTTTCATGCCTTTTTGAGTCATCACTAAGGACCTCCACGTACTCTATCCGAAGCTGAATGGTTGACATTTGGTCACGTGGTTGTTCGATGTTTTTTTTTTCACACACACCTTTCAGAGCTCCTGGGAAACCCAATCCTGCTGCAGTATACGCCACTGCATGGGGTTTCTCCTCGTCGGAGAACAAAAACAAAAGTCCAAGGTCCACCGTTAATTATCCACAAATCTGTCCCGGTTAAAGCTCCACAGTTTTGTGCAGACAGATTCCTCCATGCTCAACGTCTATCTCCATCTGTAGCTGTGTTTCCATCCAATTTGAAAGCTAATTTTGTGCATCAACTCTTTTTCAGAAAACCCAAAAACCACCTCAAGTGAAAATCTTTTTTTGCAAAATCGAGGAGGTTTTCTGCGAATTTTTGCTGTTTCTATCCAGCTTTTCTTATGCGATACTTCAAAATGGGCATAAAAAAACATTGATGGTGTGGCTGCCCGATCCGTACTGTTTGATTTTAGCATAGCATTTCGSTAGACTTATGATAGAATTTATTTGATTTCAGTCTTTCATCACCTGCAATGTTTCATAGAAAAGGCAACATTTGCAAAAAATGTGGATTTTTATTCCAGGTAAAAAAATAAAACGAAGATAAGATGAATGTCTAGAAAATATTCTGCATTATAAATAAATATGTACACATCGTAATTTTTTATTAATCAAAATGTATACAATATTAAAACTGTTTTCAGAATATAATTTAACACATCTTTATAATTAAGTATGGACATAATTATTTTCAGTATTTTTTTTTCCCAGAAGTCTGCATGCGCAAATGAGCTGACTGTACGGATCGTGCTTCTGCAACAGACAGGGCAGTCAACACCGGAAACACGACTAATGAGTTCTTTCCCATTTGACTGTCTTTAGAAAGGTCTCCTTCAGGGGGCAATAGCCGGATTCTGGAAGCGAGTAGTTGACTCAAAATGCAGCGTCCGAGCGTTTTCAGCATAAACAAACTTCTGACAAATCGCACAGTAATATTTTATGCAGAAGGGGGTGAAAAGTTCTCCCAGCATGTTGTGATAAAAAGGGGTGGAAAACTTGATGCTACAAACAAAATGACGTCATGGATCTGCGTCAATAAACGCCGATTTTAGCAGCTTGGATGGAGAGGCCTCACAGCTTAGTGAGATGCAGCCTAAAGTTATAAATGAGGAGACTGTAGGTTTCAATGAGCCATTAGCTTTTCAGTCTGGTCAGAATGTAATTATTTATTCAAACCTAGGTTGCTCAAATGGCTATCTATCACGGGTAAGATATTAACTGTTCAAAATGTTTCAACAGAACCCCACTTCAAAAGATATGAACCTCCTGTAAACTCATTTCTTTATGTTATATAATTTATTTTGGAATATTCATCCTGTTTAGCAAAATTACATGTAAAAAATACATTAGACTTTATATTTTTAGTGGTTTATGTAAAAAAGCGTGAAGCAGCAATGTGATCTTACCTTGGCATGCCGGTGGAGCAGGCCCAACCTCCTGCTGTGATTGGTTAAGATGCGATGACATCATGGCAGGACAGGGCTCAGGATTATCCTCTGTGTGAGTCATGCTCTCATCCATGACCGAAGCCTCGTCACCGAGGTGGAGAGATGCTAACAGTGGCGTGGGGAGATCACCTGGGTGGAGCTCATCCTCGGTCCGGGGCTGGAAACTGTCGGCTGCCATTTTCAAAACATTGATTTTAAAAAGTCCGGCTGGTTTTATTGAGGGCGAAGCAGAATATTGGGCCGCAGTGCAGTTGATCACATACTATCAGCTTAGAGTTAACCTCATGGCTGAGGATGGAGATGGAGGAAGTGCCGAGATCATGGCTGCCTGGTGTTGTCGACTGAAAACATGTTTCCTGTGTTGAACCACTGTTTCAAACGCATCATACGGCAGGACGAAAGCATCACCAATAAATCCCAAATGCTCTCCTCTTCATGCAGAGTTTCTTTATGAACCGCCTGAAGGAATTCTCTAATAATCAGTACAATCAGTTTGTCCAGGTTCCTCTTTTAGACTTTGATGCTTTTGTTGAGCTGGAGGACAGTGATGCTCAACTTCTTTAGGGATACATAAACAGCCTTTTCTTCAGAAACCTAATTTAAAAGAATAAAAGTCAGAAATCTTTAGACTTCAGGGGTTAAATTAAAAATTATAAACATTCAGTGCATGGACGTCAGACAGATATAGCATATTTTATACTAACTGTAATCTCTAAATTACTAAAGCATAAACAAAAGGGATTTATTAAAGTGATTTTTTATTGTGAAAGCACAGCTTCATATTAAGTACATTTCTCAACAAAATACAAAAAACAAAAAATCTTCTATTTGTCAAAAATATGGTTTCATCCAAATGCATTCATATTTAAAAAAATAACTAATTTTTCYGTCATATTAAAATAAATATTGACATTTTGTAAAAATAAAAAAGAAATAAATTGAAACAAAAATTAAATATGTTGGATTTTTCAAAACGTTAAATTGCAATGTGTACCACATTATTTTGAAAAATCAAATAGACTAAGTATCTGATATGAACCTTTTTAAATCTAATTTTAGTTTTTTATTAAGCAGTGGAATATATTTAGGTTTTAGTTTCTAAATAAGATGTTGACAAAGGTTCTGGGAACCTTTGATTGCGTTTTTTATTCTTGTAACTCTTAAATACCGAGTTACTAATTAATTCATTTACAAACATTAACTAAAAACAAAAAGAAGCAAACAAAGATTTCTATATATATATAATGAGTTGAACCCATGAACATAATTTTTTTTATTAAAATATAAGGTATGATTTAGTTTTATAGAAAGAACATTATTTGTCTAACACAAATGTTAATAATAATGCTAATATATTTTCAGGTCTACAGTTTTAAATTAAAAGATCAAAACATGAGCATAACGATAAAACTGTTTCTCTTTGAGATTTGTGGGATTATTCTGGATTTTGCTCTGTAAGGAGAGCTGGTAATGACTGCATCGATACACTGAATGTACAGTATTATATTGTAAAATCCTTTACATGATAAAGAATTCAGAGGGGCTGCAGCTAAAGCCCCCCCCACCCGTCCCAAGCGATGGATTAGTCAGCGGTTTATTCTGCTGGATTCTCCAGTAACCTCTTTACTGAAGGGATTTGGTTCTGGATATCCGTTGGTTGCTTTACAAGAGAAAATTAATGTCCATAACTTCATTTATTAAAATTATATTTAAAATAAAGATATAAAGAGTTTTTTGACAACACTAATTTTATCCTGTTTTTTGGAAAATAAAGTCTAGAAGTGATGCAGAGATCAAAGCAGGTTTTGCAAAAACAACTAGAAAAACTCCATATATAGCATAACATTCTTATTCTTGCTCTTCAGCATCACATACTGTACGTTTTTCAAGGCATTAACAAAAATTAAACGTGCATCTTTTTAGAAATTAGTTTTAATAAAGCAATGCATTTAGAATACTTTAAAATGTTGTTATTGGGAAAAAAGGAGGAAGTTTTCAAAAATGTCCTCGATCTAAAAGCCGAAGTGCTGGAAATGGCGTCCGTAAAGAAATAATTCCAATGATACGCAGCCGTTAAGTCGCCATAGATTGATGCTGTTGGTTGACGGAGTTGAGTTTGTGTTGAGATGAAGGTGATTTCAGCCGATGTCGGACAAGTCCAATGACAATTTCTGAATATTTCAAAATATCAATAAACATACATCCTACATGAGTCAGGTTACACTTTAACAGCAGTTAACCTGTATTACTCATTTGTCCTTATTTATTGGTGTTTTTTTATTTTTTTAGAAACACGTATTACCAATATTCTCATAAATAAAGTCTCAATACAAGGATGCGTTATAATCCCATTATTGGGAATACCATTGATTCATGTAGATTCATACTTTCATCAATAGAAGAGAAGTGAAATGTCTTGAAACTGTCACCCTCTTCCATTATGTCAACTAAAGTCATTATTTTTTATGCCCTYATACTAATTTACCAATTTTGTTTGTTGGTTTTTAAAAGTTTGTCCTTCTAAATCTTAGCAATCGTGTCGCATCCCGAACCAATAACGGGACAGCCGATGTACGCCATATTTTCCCCATCGCCTTTAAGCCTACCATCATCCTGCAACTAAGCTTCGACTGCTGAAGAGACGTGCAGGAACGCCACCGAGAACTTTCAAAATGGCAACTTTTTGGTACGGCCATCATCCGACCAAWCTGGAAAAGGAAGCATCATCATCAAAGTTGGCCGAGCGGGATGGTTGCGCACCTACCTGGGCCGACGAGACAGAAGGGACCGGGCAGCATGGGAAGCCAGCGTCTCGTCGACATCCATGGAGCGGCGGAAGAGACGTTGCCGGACGCACACGTGGCTCCGATCAAACCAACCACCGGCCTATGTCCTCACGCCATTCTGTGTCCCTCCACCCCCCGCCACCCCCTGCTGCTCCTCCTATCCCGTACAGCTTCTCCTCCTGCGTTCTCCATCTTCTTCAGATCCTCTCCTCCTGGGTGTTATGTGGACCCCCCCAACCCACCCCCTTCTCGTCGTGGCACCTTTTCCCACGCTGTCATTCCTCCAGGTTTTCAGTCTTCTCCTCACTGACGCATGTCATGTCCTCTTCAGAATCCAGCCTTTTCCAAGTCCACTTTCTTTACTTTTACATGCCGTGCACGAGAAAAACTCCTCTGATATAAACATAGCATTCTGAAAAAAAAAAAACTCTCAAAACAAACAAACAAAAATATCTAATGACTAAAAAAAATAACCTATGAGAGCTGTTTGTAATTTAGAGCTGATGCAGCTAAATCAGAATCAAAAGCATCACCAGTCTGGCACTAAAGCATCACCAGTCTTGACGCTGCAACTCTTTTTCACAGTTTGAGAGAACAGTCTGGATGCTCTGTTGGGGGACAGAAGCATGAAAATGAGGCGGTGGGAAGAAAAAGTCCTATATAAATAAATAAGGAGAGGATGCCACTGTTGCTATACAGAGCAAGGGGCTTAGTCGTCTCCTGAAATCCTATTGGTCGGCCTGTTGCCATGTGCTCAGCAGTCAGCAGAGATGCTGCTAACAAATCAAGGAAATGTTCTAATATTAGACTGTATGTTTCTAGGCAGCGGGAGCCCCTGACCTCTCAACTCCGACAGCGTTACGTTCCACTTCACAGATCAGCATAATGAAAGAAGTGGTGTGGAAGTAACTGCTAAAAAAAATGTTACGCCACTGTAGACAAAACAAGCAGCTCACCCCTCCACATTTCACCCCATCTTCCTGCGCGGCATCCCGGTTTATGACTGCAGCAGCAGCAGAGAGGAGAAGAATTAAATAAATAAATAAAAATCTGTGGACAACTTCTGCATGCTTATCAGTTTAGGTTTCATATCTGTATTTTCCTGTTGGGGCTGCKCAGATGTATTAATCAGCAACAAATAAAAGCTGATACATACAGGTACGAGCCACAAATATAACATTGCCTGTCCTGTTTCATCAGACGTCAAGGTGCTGTGTGTGTGGGGAGCATCGTCATGTTCAGGCCTCTGCCTACAGGGGATACTGTTGATGTAAAGATGGGTTCATGCTCTTCAACGTTATTTAGATGGGTTGTTTGTTAAAGCCAATCCTGATCTGGTGCTTCTCTGCAGAGCAGTACCCGTAGTACCACACTGCCAGAGCAGGTCGTCTTCTTTCTGTTAAACGAAAAACTACAAAAAACATCTTCAAAAATGGATTTGCAGCTTTGTGTTGAACGACAGAAGTGTCGGCCAGAATTAAAGATTCTCAGATTTACATATTTCTATTAATCTTAACAGTTAACAGCTGAACATCAAAAACTGGTATGTATGTTTCTCTATTTGAGAAGCATCATATTAACACCTAATTTATTTATTCAACCTCAAAATTATCTGATTCTTGGGTTTCAAAAAAAGACTGCTTTTTTTTCTATTTCTTTTATGGCACAGATCATACAGTCGATGATGAAATAACAAGCAGAACTGTACAGAATTTGTGTCGTTCCTTTTTTCAGATATAAGATATTGTCTTCTTCTGCTGCCTTTCATTTATTTATGATTCGTATTTAATTATATTGAATTTATGTTGTTTTTAATGAAATGAATGAATAAACATTAACAAAAAAATCATTCAGTTGGGGTCTATATGAAGTGGAACTGCAATGCTTCGCTCTGAATTCCTCCTTATTGTAACTCTACAAGCCCTTTTTGTGGGGGGTGTCTTAGATCAACTCATTTTGAGGCTGTCGCTTTAAATCCAAACGAGATGCTTCACTTAACTCAAGTGGGCATTCAGGAAACCCTGTCGAAAGGTGAATGAAATTGGGAGTGGCTTTAAAGCACAATCATTCTTCCTCTATTTGACTCAGATTGTTAATATTGACGGATCATTTCTTTTTGACYTGGTAATCACCAACATGCTGCATAAATACACCACCACTGGAGCTTTTCAGATGACTAAAGTTGTCCCAGTGTGGTGGGATAGAGAGATACAAAAATACCAAGATGTGTTTATGAAATACTTCTGAAATTTCCTTGAAACCATTTTAGACATGAGACACATTGTATTATAACAATGTGGGTCCTGTAACCTATACAGTTTCAGATACTTTATCAAAAAACATGCTCCTTATTGATAAATTAGATCATGTAAATCCTGGTTCACTCTGGTACTGCAGATCCTCTAACATAAAGAGATTGTTGGCTTTGGGCAAAAGGAAGGAAGTCAGGTTTGGAAGCTGACTGGCTAAAGCTTCATAATTCATGCATTGCTTTTAATTTAAAAAAAGCTAAAGGTGCTCATTATCTGTCTGAGACTACAAACAATTTAAATGACCCACATAAAACTAAAATTTGGTAGGTCAGGTATTCATTCTGGAGAACTTCCTCAGTTTGAATTCAATGACTGGTCAAAGCTTTGTGTTTTATTTAAAATTCTTGAAAATATAATCAATGGACAGCTTAAGACAGGACTATTCAACTGGTAGCCTGTGGGCCACATCTGGTCCATGGGTGACTTCTGTCCAGCCCACCAATTTTTTAAACGTTTTATTTATTAATTTTTTTTGCTTAATATAAAAAATGCATGTAAAAATGTAATAATACTTGTTTTCTCTGGCCCCCTGAGCAATTTAGTTGAATAGCCCTGGCTAAGGGACCACTTGTGCTCTAATATTTTATCACCTCCCTAGTCTGGTTAAAAAAAAGAGTTGCTAACTCCTTGAAGCGCTTGACACCAGAGATTACTTTGTTGCCCTTTTTATAGATCTGTTCAAGGCATTTGACATTGTCAACCACGGAATTTTGTGTCAGTAGCTTTTAAATGTAGGACTTATCTACCAGAGCAGTTTTTAAATGATTAGTGTGTGATTAGTAGTGTGCAGATTTTGGTCAGACTTCAAGTTTCCTGGAATTGTCCAAAGGGGTTCCACAAGCGTCAATTATGGGACCACTGCTCTTTACTATTTATATTAATAATCAGGGTCATGCTCTCACTGATGAAGATGATTCAGTTACAAAAAATAATTATATACAAATAAAATCTTCTAAAGGAAAAAAAACATGCTATCATTTTCTGTAAATATGTTTATTTCAGATAAGAATATATATTTTATGAACACACAGTACTTAGGGCAGTTACAATTTCAAAGATGTAGATTTTGAGTATTTAGAGGCATCAGTAAATTCTGACCAACTCTGCTCTACTTCCACAGACAGCGAAAAAACAAATGAGCAACACACATGGGCTGGTTTATGGTTTGAAACATCTCAAACTGTCTGGATGTGCAGATCCACGCAGCTACAGTAACATTTTCTGCTCATCGTTTACTACGGGAGTGTTTCACCATTAACAGTAAAATGTTAGTTTTGTGCAAATAAATGTAATATTTTCATCTATTACAGACAAGAAGAACTGGAGACCTACTTTTCACCATAACAAGTAAGAACTTTAAATGATCTTGTAACACTTTATGGAAAAATAATGTTCTCATATTAACAATACTTATAAATGCAGAACATATGGCAGTACATATATAAATACACGGGCGTTAAGATAAAATCCAGTGGAGCTTTTCACGGCTCAAATCCAGTTAGATTTGCTGCTCTGATTCAGTGAGCTGCAGAGGTCCTTTCAGTCTGTAGTCCAGGACTTGTGGGGGCTTGTGGGGCTCCTTGGCTGGGCTTTTGGACTCCCCTGAAAAATAAAAAACTCTTTAAAAAATTAGACGTTATATAATTGCTGCTGATAAAAAATAAATAAATAACCATTATTTGGTAACTCAATTTTCGCTTCTCTAACTTAAGACTAAATACTGACATTTTTTAGTACATTTGTTAGTTTCTATTGTAAAGGAGAACTGTTTTAGAAGGATTATTTAGATATTTGTATATTTTGGAAAACAAACAGATTGTCTTTTAACAAACTGCAGGAATCTGATGCAGATCCATACATTATTGTCCAACAGTTCATTAAACTTTTGACAATGGTCTCTGTTTCATTGTTTGTTTTCTCTTTAAAACTAACATTTCCTATTTAACCGCTCAGATATAAGGCCTGAAAAAATACAACAATGTTCTTTTAAAAGATAATAACAGACTGTGGTCAACAATCTTTTGGGGTGTTTTATCACAAACAGTATCCCTGCAGGAAGTGCTTTGAGAAAATGTCACAGTGTCAAACGTTTGTGCCTAATTTTTAATCTGCTGACTAATCAAGTGTGATCAGTKTTTGTTGTTTAAAAAGGAGGGACCACCAGAGGGCGCTAAGGGGGGACTCAGAAAACTGTAGGGTAGATCAGAGAGAAAAAAAATTATCATAAAATAAAATGTTTTTTAATCATTACTTTAAAATATAATTTATAATAATAGTAGAATTTTATTTAAAAGAACTTAAAATAAATATGATTTATTTTGTTCTGTTCCTATCGTCAACAGTTTGAAAAGTTGTTTTTTTCCAGTGGGAATATGATAGTGTTTAAAACATGTTTGTTAATAAAATACTTATACTAAACAAATATAATAATCATTTTTTTTTTACATTTTTATAGCATTATTTGTGGGTTTGCAGGGGGGTCCCCAGCCAGAAGCTAATACTGTTCAGGGGTCCATGACGTAAATTTGTAAAGTTTATTTTACTAATTTTTATACCTTTCATAGGTATAAAATCACAAAGTGCTTCACAATAAAAGCAAGAAATTTTTTTAAAGTATCACATTCATTAAAGTAAAAACAAGTTAGAATATAAAGCAAAACTAAAAAAACATAGTTTGAAATCCCCTGGTTTAAAAGATCAAGCTAATTAACTGCTCAACAAATAAGTTGGTCTACCGTTATTGTTTTCCTTTAGAAAGTTTAGGGAAAAAGTGTAAAGTTGTGACAGATGTTCAGTCATTTCATAAAAATCTAAATAGTCTGAACCGTATTTTAACAATAACTTGGTTAATTTGTATTACATTACTGTTTATTTGCACATCAGACATAAGATTTAGTGTTGCTATAACAAGGCTGTGCTGATGAATGTAATCTGACAAAGTCTCCAAAYCCAGGGTAACACCTGAAGGGGGCAGCAGAGCACTGTCAGTCACGGCTGCCCACACCCTTACAGCTGCTGTAAAGTTTAACTTTTCAGACTAAACACTAGAGAAGTTGCTCACTTTACAAAGAATTTACTGCTGCCTTATAATAAAGTTATAAGCATCAGTTCTAATGACAAAACCTGCCAATTTTTTTCTTTTAATGTTAATAAATCCACGTCACACTAAATATAAATAAATCGTGTCTACGTCAACTTTATAATTAACAGATTTTTCTTGCCAGCCCTAATAAAACAATCATTTTTGTGAACATGTAAAGCTCAAAAAAGGAGGACTTGAAGGAGAGAATGGACTCACCACTGGAGTTTGGGTCTTAGCGTAGTTCATGTGGGCATAGAGAAGCACAGCTGTGTCATTGTGGGCTGCTTCCAGTGCAATGGACAGAGCATTACTGCCATCCTGTAGACACGAGGGAAAACCAGTTCAGTCTGTAAAAGTCAGGTCGGTTACTTAAAGAGTTAAACTAAAACAGAATTTCACAGTTTTAAAAGGGCCGCATGATAAGCAATTATACTTTTTTTTTCTTTCCCCCAATGGTTTCCACTTTTAGACAATTTGTTAATTATGGTCAGCCACGTTACCATCATGCATCTGTGATTAGGCAGTAAAGGAACTAAAGTAAACCCTTTATTTCCACTGTTTGTAGAAGGGGAAAATGGGCATTCTTAACAGAAATGTCTGAGTTGTATCAGAT